CGGCCCGGACCCTAAATATATATTTGTTTTTCTAATCTTTGAACGTATTCTCAAATGTCGCATTCTCAGCACCTAAAACATCATTCCGTTTATATAAAATTTAAATATTATTTTAAGTTAAAAACAAAAATTTTATTCTTTAAAATTAAAATATTATTAAAGATTTCAATTTTTTAATTCTTCGAAGAATGAAGATTTTCTTAGAAATATTCTTCATTAAATGCTTAATACTAAAATCAGAGCAAAAATGCTTGAAAGAATGTAGATAATTATTCCTTTCTTAAATTTAATTGAAACTGCGGCATTACAACGCTGTCCTGAACAAAAACATTGTTCAACACTTAAATGCTGAAAATAATAAAATTATAGTTATATCCAGACCTGCTCAGGATAGTGATTTTGATATCCGGATATTTACGGCGGATACAAGCGGATATCCGCAGGCATCTTGATATCTGTATCCATATCCGTGAGCAGGTCTGATTATGTGTATCTCTCATTTTTTTTTGGAAAAAGTGTTCTCCCTTCTGTAACCCCCATATTTTTTTCTTAATAATGACCCTTCAAAATTCCATTTTTCAGTCATTAAAAATATATTTAAACCACTTTTTTAATAAACTTTTGTTTATTTATACCTGTGGAATTTGTGTATCGCCAAGTTGGGAAAGTTCTGATTGTCTTTCTATAGTTATACAACTTTGGGTATTAAGAGGATTGAATGGAGAACATCCACGCATTTCTAACCAACGCCCTTGGAATTAAAAAAATATGAAAATTATATTTTATTCTGGTATTTTTAATTACCGTTGTGGTAACCAATAGTTTTAGTGCACCAAGCACCTATAAATTATTAAAAAATTATAAAAAAAGCTACCAACTTCCTATATAATCAACATGAAGGAATTGGGGAAAGTTTATCTTAACCGTAGTTATTTGGAGATAAAAATACTCGGTATTAGATGCTTCCTTTTACAGAATTTATCGAGGTGAGAGAGCTAATCTGTTTACAGAATTCATCTATCAGGGATAAAAATCGTTTTCTGATAAAATGTTTTAGGTTGCAACCCATAGAGGGAGGGTGCCTATATTTTTGAAACATTCTGTGCCTATGTACCAAACTATCGCTGTAATAACGAAGAGAAATTTTCGGTTATCTCCCTTACCTCCTGATACAGATACCTATTATCACACACTTTTTGTTAATTTTGTTGCAAACTGTACTCCTAAAGAATTAAATATTCTCAAGTTTTACCGGTGCAATATGTACGCACATCACGGTGGCAATCCCCCTCCATATCATTCCTCATACATTTTAAACATTCAACCACTAAAATTAAATTTGAAGATTTTAATGAAGTTTTATTTTTAAAAGCAAACTTCCTGAAGCTTTTTTACAGTCAGGTCCCCACCCATCACTCGATTGTTGTCCTTTTGCGAATTTATCGTTAATTAATAGTTTATTGTTGCAAGGGTCTGATTGCTTTATTTAAATAATTTCAAAAAATTAAATAAAAATGAGTGTACTTGTGATGCCTGGCACAAACTTAGCCCTACTGTTGCTTGCCGGACAAATTCAATCTTATTTGCTGACACTTAAATGGCAAATTTATTTTAGGCTAAAATATCATTCAGAGAATTATATCAGTGTGTGTATGTATTTTAAATAGATTGTACCATTTTATCAGTTTCCTCGCTCAGTGCCCAACGAAATAAAAACGAAATTTTAAATTAATCGGTTTCTGGTAGTAACTATAGCCTCGATTCAACTGTATTTTTAGGCTTTTTCTGGGCTTTGTTTAATAGGATATATAATAATGGGGCAAGAGAGCCTGAGATAGATCAGGCTCTCTCACTCAATCTCCATCTTTTTAGAATTTCAGGTTTCTAGAAAATGTCTTTAAAATCTGAAAAATAAATTTTCCTTTCAAATACATACCAACAGTAGCATTCTGATTAGAAGCTCCATAAACACATTCCAAATTCCCAGTAGGAATTGGATAGTCTGGAGGAAAGAAATCATTAAGACAACCTCTCACTATTGAATATATTCCATCTAAATTTTAAGAAAAAATTTTGATAGGAAAGGGGGAAATACACACTTGAGACAATCAACATTTCAATGCAAACACCCCCGGAACAATGTGACATTGGTTGTATATTTGTTGTACTGCCTTTTTCTCCGCATTTATCAAGAAATGCAAATTGTTTTAGCTATAAATATCGATGTATTATTGATAAGATCCCCCCTCAAGTCATTTCCTATCTAATTATGTATCTCCCAAAAACAGGACAGATTATTACCACATTATTACGTCCATTAGAGGCGTTCAAGGGCACAACAGCGGACTACTATAGGCTATGAACCCTAGAGACTATGGATCCTGGCGTCTTTTAGAAATTGTGAATTCAAGCTCAAAAACCATTAGAAGCCAGAATTTCAGCAACAGGCATGGCGGGGCCCCCCTTAGAGACTATTAAATACACTATTACGGCAGTAAATTTGATACCTTATTAGGGTTGCCAGTACCAGCATCACCTTCAAAAAACACCTGAGGCGCTAAACGTAGCCCTGTTCCCTGCCATTCACTCTGCAATATCGGCGATGCACAGGAATAACAACTAAACTTTTTTAAAACTTTAAATTTTTTAGAGTTAATTACTCGAATTCAGCTAATACTCCATTGAATAAACTGATTCCAATAATTGAATAAAATAAAAAATAAAAAAAATAAAATTTGGGCATGTTTAGATTATGCTTAATAATTACTAAAGTTTAGGTGAAAGTTTTTATTTTCTAGAAAGGAAACATGAATCATGAGTAAAACAACACCCAAACCCATCAAGATTAAGACTATTGGATGTCTCAAGAGTCGTTCGAATCATGGGATAGACTTGAAATAATTCGGCGAAATAAACTACATTTGTTCGATCTTCTCAAATTTCCTATCTATACCCCGTAGGATTATAGGTTATGAACTGAACGAAACGGAGAAATTTTTTCAGTTCGTTTTCATAAATCCGCAGATATTGAATAATAAATAATTAAAAATCTTTGATTTAAAAATTGAAACTAGGTACATCAAATCATATACCTAATTAAAAATTAAATCAAAATATTTATTAAACAAAATTAAAAATATTCTAAATTAAAAAATTTTTTTGCTCAATAAAACGAAAATGAAATTCTTTATAAAGCAGCGTTTTCTAGAAAAAAAAGCATAAGTATTTATCATCTTCTTTAGCACTTTCTAAAATCAAACTTTCCGATAAATCCAAAATACAAACAAAAAAATGACTAATTTTCTTTAGCTTTTGGTTATGAAATAATACCTGAAAATGGTTTTCTTTCTGAAGAAATTGACACATTATTAAACAAAATATATAGTTTGTAAAATTCACGTCCAATCAAATAAAATAAAAAAAAGACGTAAAGGTTTGTTTCAAAAGGGTTCAAATTTTGCTCGAAAACCGTCTTAATAGAGGACGCCTTAAATATGGTAAGACAAGACAAAATGGTTTTTTGCTATTTTGAAGCTTTCTGGAAGATTGATGATCAAGTTTTAAAATTTTTCAAACTTTTCGGCACTCCGATATTCAAATAATCACTATGGCTGACATCGAGACATAGTTTAATTTAAGATAATTAGAATAATTTGAATAAGGGTACCAGTTAAAATTAGGGTTTGACCCCGTACCCCGTTCCCGAACGATTTTTTCACGATTCTCCCCGACCCGAACCCCGCCCCGAAAAAAAGTGAAAACCCCGTACCCCGACCCGAAAAGTCACACTCTATCATCTGCGATCAACTGACCTTTTCTATTAATAGGAAAAGATAGCAGAGAAAAACTCTATCATGTATACTTTTACAACCCATCAAAAATTTCTGATTAATATATAGGGCATAAATATAAATAAATTAATAAATGAGTTGAGTGTGGAGCGCAGTTAAGATTGTGGAGGGCACAGACATTCAAGTCTGGTGCCAAACATCGACTAAAGTCGGAAAACAACACCAGCCCCCTCTCTTCACCAATTACCCCCTCTCTTCACCACCTACCCATAGACATTCAGGTCTGGTGCCAAATATCGACAAAGTCGGGAAACAACACCAACCACCTCTCTCCACCACCTACCCTTTCTCCACCACCCTTTCCCCCTCACGGCCAGGAGGAAAAGACTTTCCTTAGCGAAGGTTTTGTGGAGGGTAGCAGGCTCGTAAAATATGCTACACGGAGGTCGGATGGCCAAAGGCGCAAGTGACTTGTAATTGCATCGGTGTCCGATGAAACTTCTGCGCTCCGATTTTTTTATAAATTTTTTTAAACGGAAATTCGAATTTACCCTAATCTTTAATTATTTTTAATCTTTTAATCAATTTTAATAGAAGGAAAGATTAACAAAAAAAAGTTTATGTTTCAAATTTTAATGAAAAAATTGTGTTTTTTAGTCTGCAAAATTGCCTTATTTTAGTATGGCTATGGGAAAAAATAAAAAAATGAAAAATATTGTATATAAATACGAGGGGGTAAATTTTGTCAGAAAAAGTACGGCCAGAATAAATCAAGTGAGCTTAGCTCTAATTCAGATCAGGGATGGGTAGAGTTACCCGAAACATGGACTTTTTCATCAAAAACCCCCAGTTCGAACAAAATTTTGAAATCCTTCTTACTTTTTGACAACCCTAGCCATCCCTGATTCAGGTCCTATAATTAGTGAAAATGTCACTGCACTTTTATTAATTTTTAAAGTTAAAAATGGTGGATAGTAAATGATCGGTTTGGCAATCTGTGAATTTATATTAAATTTAAAAATAATAAAATTAAAATTTTAAGGCATTTTAAATCGACTGTCAACCCACAGACTGCCAAGAATATTAAAAAAAATAATTTGGTAGAATAGGTCAACTAGCAAGTTAATAAAAAATAATATTAAAAAAAGTCAGTTAGGCGTAAATAAATAAATAAAGTCTCCAAAAAATTATTTTCTCTTCAGGTTCTCTTCAAACTTGATTATTATTCAATTTAGTCTTAACACCCCTTCGGTTATCCATTTCTTCATAAACTTGCTCAAGCGTTTTATTCTTGGTCTCGGGCAAAAACTTGAGTGCGAACAGAATAAATATTAGCAGGAGAGCAGTGAATACAAAGAAGGAATATTCCGCCAGAATACCCTAAAAACAAAAAAATGTTTTGAAAAAATTCTGATTTAATTTGTTTTAATTTTCTTCTGATATTTAAAAATTCTGATTTGTTCTGATTAAAATTTGTTCATGTTTATATTAAATTCTGGTCGGTTTTTATTTAAATTTTGTTTATAAATATTCTGATTTTACATGTTTAAATTTATGTTTGTAAATGTTTAGAATTAATTCTGATTTGTTTAGAATTAATTCTGATTTGTTTTCCTTAATTCTGTTTTGTAAACTTAAGTTTGCTTGTTAAGTATTCTTAAATGTTTTAATTAATTTTGTTTAGATTTTTTAATTTTTTGTTCAGCAATAATTTTGTCTTTTATCCGATCAGAAAAGTTTAAAAATTTTTAAAACTCACATCAATAATTGGGAAGAACGTAGCAACGAGTATAACACAAATCCAATTTACAGTAACCGCAAAAGTGCTGGCAATACCACGCAAATTTGACGGGAACATTTCGTTTACATAGAACCAAGGGATTGATCCTAAAATTAATTTAAAAATTTTTGAAGTCATTTTTAATAAAATTCACCTGGTCCAGTTGCGAATGAGATGACAAAGAGTAGAACAAAAATGATTGAAAGGAAGGAGACAAATTCAATGGACTGAAAATTAAATTTTTAAATTCTGATTTAATTTAAAAAAGTTTGTAAGAAATTCTGATTTAATTTGTTTATTGTTGTGTTGATATTTGTAAATTCTGGTTTGTTTTAATTTAATTCTGATTTTTATTTAATTCTGGGGGAATTATTAGAATTCTGTTTCTGAACTTTTTAATGTTTTAATTGATGTTTTAAATTAATTCTGATTTTTCATTTAATTCTGGTTTTTATTCCAATAAATTCTGGTCTGTTTTTATTTAATTCTGATTTGTAAATGTTTTTATTGTACCTTAGCAACAAGCATAGAAATAGCAATCATCGCTGTTGAGAAACACATTCCGACCATTCCAGTAATATGAAGAGTTCTACGTCCAAAGCGGGGATGTTCAACCTTTGAAAAATTTTTTAAATGTCATACAGTTTTTCAATATTTTACCAAATAAACAGACACAACAGTCATCAAAACATTTATAGCCCCCATTGCAATTGTGGCATAATTTGGCCCTTTAAATAAAAATTTAAAACAGTCCGCTAGCAAAATTTTTTAAAAACTCTCACATTGTCCTTTAAGACCGGCTCCCTTGAAAATAGCAGTCGAATAAAACATAGCTATAAAAAATAATTTTTTAAAATAATTCCCTTCAAAAACCCCACCAGCGTTAATTCCACTCAATTGTTGAGAAATCATCATAAACAAAGCAAGGACCAAAGGCCATGGAAGTCTGGTACCGTAAATGTCTTTCATTGAGGAAGGAGCTCCAGAATTAGCTTTTGCGGCTTCGTCAGAAATTAAGTCAAGTTCAGCTTGAACCTATAAATAAATCGGAATAAAATCAGAACTAAATCAGAATTCTGGTTCCTAATCTGGTTTGATAAATAAAAATTCTGGTTTTTAAAATAAAATTAAAATTTTGATTTTGCAAAATAAAATCAGAAAAAACAAACATCTTCACTCTCACGAAGTTTTTTCAAGTCTTTCTCTGCTTGATCTCTTTGACCTTTAACAACAATAGTGAATTCAGGGGTCTCTGGGCAGAATGTAAGAGTGCACAGTTGAACAATAACAGGCACCTTTGAAAAATAAATATTAAAAGGGATTTCTGTGTGGAAAATTAATTTTTAAATTTTCATTCAGAATTATTTAAGAGAAAAACGGAAAGGATTGGAACGAAAGCAGGACCCTATACCACGACCGTCTTCTTCGAAAGAATAACTATCATGCGTCTTAACTCAAAGAAATAGGTAGAATCAACCAAAATTGAGTAGATCCGACTTTAATTAACCTTTTAAGAGCCTTAAAGGTAGTATGGGTGTGATAGATAATTGATTAGATTTAAAAAAAATACAAAAGTAAAAGCAAAAATAAACGGCCATCTCTCAACAGTTCCCAATAAAAATGGGAGTCCAAGAATCTGAGAGAAAAGGATGGCAATAGTCACAAACAACTGAGCAAACGAGCCAGTCGCTCCACGCAAGTTTGCAGGCGAAACTTCAGTCAAATACATTGGTGCCAATCCACTGTTTAATCCTAAAAAATGAAAAAAATTGTTTTATACCAATGGAATTTTTTTATCATTTGTTAAATTTTAAACAATCATTTGGATAAAATTTGATCCAAAAATATATTCGCCTAATTTTTCTAACTATAAATCTTGAAAAAAGAAAAATTATTTTGGGATTGGAGTTAGGATTGAAGTCAACAACCAGGGTTGGTGGGCCCGGTATCCGAATCAAAAATATGACCGATTATCAGTAAATTGTTCGGAGATTTCCCACTATTCGTCCACCCTAAAATCCAATCCAAAAACACATCGCTCTACGGGCGGCATTTTTACGGTGCAACCCGAAAACGTCTCAGTTCCTTAAGACATTTTATCGCAACAAACTTTTTAACACTTAGACGACGGAAAATTTTATACGACGTTAAAGCGTTGGGGTCATTTTGACCCATCCGTCATTTAAGGGTTAATTTTCTCAATTTACCAGCATTTATTCCAACAATAAGACGGCCCAAAATGAAAAGCCAATAATTTCCCACAAATTTAGCTCCCGCCATTAAAGCCCCAGAGATTATAGCCAAAGCGTTGTTGTACAAAAGTGCACGTTTCCGTCCAAGTTTTGTAGAGACAATTCCAACCAAATTTCCTCCAATCATACCACCAACAGCGAAAACTCCAACTGCCATACCCCTAAAAATATTTAATAATTTTACAGAGAACTCCACCCCCAAAAATTTCAACTAGAGCAGTTCCCGAACCGAGCTAATTTTAACTTGTGACCCTCAAAAGTCCTTAAAATTCCAAATATAAGCCGCCACAAGCTAAAATTAACTGTCGTGAACAACCCTAGCATAACACAATGAAAAGTAGATATATTATATCTCACCATCTTGCTTCAATGGTGGCAGCATCAGATCCAGAAATTTGCTCGGAAAACCATTGTTTGATAAGGTCAGCTATAAAAAATCAAATAGTTAAAATATTAAATCATATTTTCAACAGGACAGAGCTAAGAAATATCCAAAAATTGTTTTATAAATCGTTTTATAAATCACTCCGATATTCAAATAATCATTATGGCTGACATCGAGACATAGTTTAATTTAAGATAATTAGAATAATTTGAATAAGGGTACCAGTTAAAATTAGCGTTTGACCCCGACCCCGTACCCCGTTCCCGAACGATTTTTTCACGATTCTCCCCGACCCGAACCCCGCCCCGAAAAAAAGTGAAAACCCCGTACCCCGACCCGAAAAGTCACACTCTATCATCTGCGATCAACTGACCTTTTCTATTAATAGGAAAAGATAGCAGAGAAAAACTCTATCATGTATACTTTTACAACCCATCAAAAATTTCTGATTAATATATAGGGCATAAATATAAATAAATTAATAAATGAGTTGAGTGTGGAGCGCAGTTAAGATTGTGGAGGGCACAGACATTCAAGTCTGGTGCCAAACATCGACTAAAGTCGGAAAACAACACCAGCCCCCTCTCTTCACCAATTACCCCCTCTCTTCACCACCTACCCATAGACATTCAGGTCTGGTGCCAAATATCGACAAAGTCGGGAAACAACACCAACCACCTCTCTCCACCACCTACCCTTTCTCCACCACCCTTTCCCCCTCACGGCCAGGAGGAAAAGACTTTCCTTAGCGAAGGTTTTGTGGAGGGTAGCAGGCTCGTAAAATATGCTACACGGAGGTCGGATGGCCAAAGGCGCAGGTGACTAGTAATTGCATCGGTGTCCGATGAAACTTCTGCGCTCCGATTTTTTTATAAATTTTTTTAAACGGAAATTCGAATTTACCCTAATTTCTTGTGTTTACCATCCAACCTCCTCCTAAATTCCTCTAGTTTTCATGTTTTTCAAACTCTCCGGAACCCAGACATTTTTTTAAATTAATTCGATAGATAGTTTCAAAGAATATTCCAAGATAAAAAATTAAGTGCTATGTAGATCTTTAATTATTTTTAATCTTTTAATCAATTTTAATAGAAGGAAAGATTAACAAAAAAAAGTTTATGTTTCAAATTTTAATGAAAAAATTGTGTTTTTTAGTCTGCAAAATTGCCTTATTTTAGTATGGCTATGGGAAAAAATAAAAAAATGAAAAATATTGTATATAAATACGAGGGGGTAAATTTTGTCAGAAAAAGTACGGCCAGAATAAATCAAGTGAGCTTAGCTCTAATTCAGATCAGGGATGGGTAGAGTTACCCGAAACATGGACTTTTTCATCAAAAACCCCCAGTTCGAACAAAATTTTGAAATCCTTCTTACTTTTTGACAACCCTAGCCATCCCTGATTCAGGTCCTATAATTAGTGAAAATGTCACTGCACTTTTATTAATTTTTAAAGTTAAAAATGGTGGATAGTAAATGATCGGTTTGGCAATCTGTGAATTTATATTAAATTTAAAAATAATAAAATTAAAATTTTAAGGCATTTTAAATCGACTGTCAACCCACAGACTGCCAAGAATATTAAAAAAAATAATTTGGTAGAATAGGTCAACTAGCAAGTTAATAAAAAATAATATTAAAAAAAGTCAGTTAGGCGTAAATAAATAAATAAAGTCTCCAAAAAATTATTTTCTCTTCAGGTTCTCTTCAAACTTGATTATTATTCAATTTAGTCTTAACACCCCTTCGGTTATCCATTTCTTCATAAACTTGCTCAAGCGTTTTATTCTTGGTCTCGGGCAAAAACTTGAGTGCGAACAGAATAAATATTAGCAGGAGAGCAGTGAATACAAAGAAGGAATATTCCGCCAGAATACCCTAAAAACAAAAAAATGTTTTGAAAAAATTCTGATTTAATTTGTTTTAATTTTCTTCTGATATTTAAAAATTCTGATTTGTTCTGATTAAAATTTGTTCATGTTTATATTAAATTCTGGTCGGTTTTTATTTAAATTTTGTTTATAAATATTCTGATTTTACATGTTTAAATTTATGTTTGTAAATGTTTAGAATTAATTCTGATTTGTTTAGAATTAATTCTGATTTGTTTAGCATTAATTCTGATTTGTTTAGAATTAATTCTGATTTGTTCTCCTTAATTCTGTTTTTGTAAACTTAAGCTTGTTTGTTAAATATTTTAACTTTAAATGTTTTAATTAATTTTAGTTTAATTTTTTATTTTTTGTTCAGCAATAATTTTGTCTTTTGTTCGATCAGAAAAATTTAAAAATTTTTTAAACTCACATCAATAATTGGGAAGAACGTAGCAACGAGTATAACACAAATCCAATTTACAGTAACCGCAAAAGTGCTGGCTATACCACGCAGATTTGACGGGAACATTTCGTTTACATAGAACCAAGGGATTGATCCTAAAATTAATTTAAAAATTTTTGAAGTCATTTTAAATAAAATTCACCTGGTCCAGTTGCGAATGAGATAACAAAGAGTAGAACAAAAATGATTGAAAGGAAGGAGACAAATTCAATAGACTGAAAATTAATTTTTAAATTGTTCTGATTTTATAAGTAAGTTTGTAAAAAAAATTCTGATTTAATTTGTTTATTGTTGTGTTGATATTTGTAAATTCTGGCTTGTTTTAATTTAATTCTGGTTTTTGTTCTAATAAATTTTGGTCGGTTTTTAATTAATTCTGGTTTTTAATTCTGATTTGTAAATGTTTTTATTGTACCTTAGCAACAAGCATAGAAATAGCAATCATTGCAGTTGAGAAGCACATTCCAACCATTCCAGTAATATGAAGAGTTCTACGTCCAAAGCGGGGATGTTCAACCTTTGAAAAATTTTTTAAATGTCATACAGTTTTTCAATATTTTACCAAATAAACAGACACAACAGTCATCAAAACATTTATAGCCCCCATTGCAATTGTGGCATAGTTTGGCCCTTAAAACAAAAATTTAAAATGGTCCATTAGCAAAAATTTTCTAAAAACTCTCACATTGTCCTTTAAGACCGGCTCCCTTGAAAATAGCAGTCGAATAAAACATTGCTATAAAAAATAATTATTTTTAAATAATTCCCCTAAGGTAACCCCACCAGCGTTAATTCCACTCAATTGTTGAGAAATCATCATAAACAAAGCAAGAACCAAAGGCCATGGAAGTCTGGTACCATAAATGTCTTTCATGGAGGAAGGAGCTCCAGAATTGGCTTTTGCAGCTTCGTCAGAAATTAGGTCAAGTTCAGCTTGAACCTATAAATAAATCGGAATAAAATCAGAACTAAATCAGAATTCTGGTTCCAAATCTGCTTTGGTAAATTAAAATTCTGATTTGGCAAAATAATCAGAATTAAAAACAAACATCTTCACTCTCGCGAAGTTTTTTCAAGTCTTTCTCTGCTTGATCTCTTTGGCCTTTAACAACAATAGTGAATTCAGGGGTCTCAGGGCAGAATGTAAGAGTGCACAGTTGAACAATAACAGGCACCTTTGAAAAATAAATAAATATTAAAAGGGATTTTTGTTGGAAAGAGGAAAACAGAACGGATTAGAACGAAAGCAGGCCACTCTAACAAGACATTGTCTTCTCCGAAATGAATAACTATCATTCGCCTTAACTCAAAGAAATAGGAAGAATCAACCAAAATTGACTATCCGACTTTCATAAAACTTTTTAAAAGCCCTGAGGTAGTATGGGTGTGATAGATAATTGATTAGATTTAAAAAAAATACAAAAGTAAAAGCAAAAATAAACGGCCATCTCTCAACAGTTCCCAATAAAAACGGGAGTCCAAGAATCTGAGAGAAAAGGATGGCAATAGTCACAAACAACTGAGCAAACGAGCCAGTCGCTCCACGCAAGTTTGCAGGCGAAACTTCAGTCAAATACATTGGTGCCAATCCACTGTTTAATCCTAAAAAAGGGTAAAAATTGTTCTATATCGATGGAATTTTTTATTTCTTTAATTTTAAACAATTAAGTATTTGGATAAAATTTGATCCAAAAATATATTCGCCAAATTTTGTTAACTATAAATCTTAAAAAACGAAAAAAAATATTTTGGAATTGAAGTTAGGATTGGAGTCAACGACCAGGGTTGGTGAGCCCGGTATCCGAATTCGAAAAATGACCGATTATCAGTAAATTATTCAAAGATTTCCCACTATCCGTCAACCTTAAAATCCAATCCAAAAACACATCGCTCTATGGGCGGCATTTTTACGGTGCAACCTCAAAACGTCTTAGTTCCTTAAGACATTTAATCGCAATAAATTTTTTAATTTTCTCAATTTACCAGCATTTATTCCAACAATAAGACGGCCCAAAATGAAAAGCCAATAATTTCCCACAAATTTAGCTCCCGCCATTAAAGCCCCAGAGATTATAGCCAAAGCGTTGTTGTACAAAAGTGCACGTTTCCGCCCAAGTTTTGTAGCAACAATTCCAACCAAATTTCCTCCAATCATACCACCAACAGCAAAAACTCCAACTGCCATACCCCTAAAAAATATTTAATAATTTTAAAGAGAAATTTCCAATTCAAGGAGGGGGGGGGGGCTAATTGACGTTCACTCTTATTTAACCAAAACCCCAACCCCCAAAAGTTTCACTAGGACAGTTTCCAAACACTGGCTAATCTTCACTTGTGGCGGCTCAAAAGTCCTTAAGATTCCAAATATGAGCCGCCACAGGCTAAAATTAACGGTCGTGAACAACCAAATCATAATACAATGAATAGTAGATATATTATATCTAACCATCTTGCTTCAATGGTGGCAGCATCAGATCCAGAAATTTGCTCGGAAAACCATTGTTTGATAAGGTCGGCTAAAAGAATCAAATATTTAAAAATATTTAATAATATTTTCAACAGGACAGAGCTAAGAAATATCCCAAAATTGTTTTATAAATCCAAATAATCCCCTTTTAAAATTCCACACCGGGCAGATTAATGCATCCAATATGATAACCAAATTGAAAAGAGCTTCCAAAAGCTGCTGCCAAAACAGCAAAAATGAGAGATTTTGTCCAATGTCCTTCCTTAAATTTATTTCAAAAATAACAGAAATATACAATTCTGAAACAAAATTAGTAGTCTCTTGTAAGCTAGGGTTGGACTAAAAAAAGTCCAATAATTCGGGGATTCTTGGAAAATAAAAAAATCCCGTATGAAGTACGGGTTGAAGATACTCGGCCCTACCTAATAATAAAAAATACGTCCCATTATATAATACTTTTTGCAAATCCAAGGGGGTATCTTAAAGAAAGATCCGACTGTATTTTTAATTGTTTTCACCATTTTTTTATTTCTGTCTGAGGTTGTCCTCTGAAACTTTTCTGTACTAAATGATGAAGAATCACCGTTATTAATAATTATTGGAGAAGATATTTTTATATTCTCCTTTTCATTATTTTTAGTTGATGAAATGCTCATAATAAAAATATTATTTTTTACTAATTACAACAATAATAATTATTTTTAACAGAGAAAATTGGGGAAAGAAACTAGTAAAAAAATACATTAAAAAGTAGCTAAATAAACAATTATTTTATACCCAATAAACCGTTTAATGATTTTAACAAACTAATTTTATTTGTTTTAGGTTTGTCTAAAAGCGAGAAAAAAAGTTTAAAAATTTTTAAAAATTTAAAAAAAAAAGAGAAAATCGATCAAGAAAAATCCTGTGATCTACTGTTTCCAGTTGTAAAAAAATTATGAAGGCCTTACAAGATAAATATTTAACTTTTAAAATTTATAAAACCCAGAGCTTTTGAAGGCTTACGCTTAGTCATGAGAATCACTGGCTGAATACAGTCGAATCTCAATAAAACGTCTCAACCGGAGCGAATTGTTCTGATCTAGTAATGAAAGAGACAATACTAACGGAGAGACATGTCAGAGAGATTCAACTGTAAATAATTTTTAATGATAGAAAGATAGAAAATTAACAAAATTTAGTTGGAAAGACATATGTATTTCTCGCTTATAATAAGCAAACTAAACAATAAACTTTTTTTGAGTTTTAACGAAAGCTTAAACAAGAAAATTATTTTTCAAATATTTGATTTATTATTGACATCATAATAAAAACATTTTTGAATGCACTATTTTTAGTAAACGACCCAAAAATTGTTTTAATCGAAAATAGGTTGCAGAAAATCTTACCTACTTATCTTTTAGTTTTGGGGGATTTTAAGGTAATAAATTGAAATGTTTTTAATGTTTTTATGAATCAATTTAAATTGTAAAAAGTAGTAAATATTTTGTAAAACGTGTTTTTAAAAATTAAAATATTACAAACATTAATCTTGAACAGATACAAACATGCCTTAAAATGTTTTTAGTTGTCGAAAAGAAAATGTTTTATCAATAACATACCTAAACAGACTTAAAAGGTTTATAAGATCATTTCAAAAACATTCAAAAAAATTCCAACAATTAAATAAAACAATTACAATTAAAAGTGTTTTACAATCAAACATTTAAAAACACAAAAATAAAAATGTTTCAAAACATTGAATAAACTTTTCAAACAAACAATAAAAACATATCCGGAACTTGTAACTTAAACATCTTTCATTAAGAGAAATTTAACTAAACTTTAAAAACATAAACAATTTTCAGTAAAAACAAATAAGAACATGTTTCACATACATTATCTTTTAATTCTGAAAAACATTTCTTCCACACATCACTAAAAACTTTTAAAAACATGCTTGACAAATTACACAATTAAAAACAATAAAAACATTGCAATAAAACATGCAATAAAAACATGGTTTACAAACATCTATTCTAATACAAAAAGATGTTTTTCATAGATTTATCAAAACTTTGTAAAAACATGCTCAACAAACTTATTCCAAAAACATCTAAAACATTTTACTACAACAAACTTTACAACAAACTTGAAACAATAATTAGCTTGATATAAAAACATTTAATGAACATGTTTTAAAAACTTCCGAACATCCCCCAAAAACATTATCACAAACTTAAAAACATTTTCAAAAACACTTAAAACATTTAACTAAAACAAGTTCAAACTTGAAATAAAGAACAAACTTTAAGAACAAACTTAAAATAAGAGTAGTACAAATTCAAAAAATATAAAATGACCTTATTCAAAAATAAAATATTATTTAAAATAACAATTTAATTGTAAGCCTACGCCCCTTCAAAATTTACAAAAAATATTAATGACTTATCCCAAATTTAATGTTTGAGAAATGACTAGTCTATTATACAGAAATGTTTGTTGATTTAAATGTTTCTAGTTAAACAAAAAATTTTTAAAAGAGCAAAAGAAGCTTAAAATAAAAGAGCAAAGGTAAAACAAAAAAGAAATTCTAAAATTAGTTTTATTAAAAAAAAATTTTTCAAAAAATTTAAAAATAGAGAAAAATGAGTATTTAATTCTTAAGCAGCTAAAAGTCTCTGACTGACAAAAGAAAAAATTTTTGGAATTAGACCATTTTTCTTTTTATTTTTTTTTCAAATTTACTTAATATTAAATAACTGAATTCCTCTATACTTTAATCTGATAACAATAACTGAACATATCACACAAATTTTTTATGTGATTAATTTAATAATTCTCATAATGTGTCCTTACTTCCTACCGTTCTGATAAAAATTTAAAAAAAATAAAAGGGGGAAGTAGAGTCTAATCAAGAAATTAAAAAATGCCTTACTACTAAAACAAGGCAGTATCAAATACAAAAAAAATAAATTAACTAAAATTGGAAGAAAAATATGATATAAAAAATAAATCTTAAAATAAACAAAATTTAATATATTGTGTAACACCATCCATCTTTACATTTGTCAACTTTTTTAAACAACAAAACGGTTAATCAACCCATGTGTAATTAAAATGTATTTACCCTTAATCATGAACTTTAAGGTTCCCGTCTTTTCTGATCAATTTAATTTTGTGCCTAAAACCAGTAAATTGAAATATCTCGATATAATTCTTCCCTTTCCGCTTTACTACTTAGAAAGATTTTTAATAAAACTTAAAATAAATGGATGGATGGTGTTACAAAATATACAAAATTTTATTTATTTTAAGTTTTATTTAGAAGAATTTTTAATCACTTTCTGATGAAAGAATCGGGAAACTAACAAAGGAAGTCAAAAATTAGCCATAATTATCCTAATCGTATTTCATTTAGACTCTAATGGGAATTTACTAAAAATGTACAGATAAAAGTTGATTGACCTTTTACAGTCGTGGAAAAAAGTATGGAAGCGCTAGAAAATTTTTTCTTAATTCTTAATTTTTCATTCAAAAAATACGTTCTATATACCAATCGAAAGCTCTATTCGTATCTCAGTTGACATGTTTCTGCATTTTTCATGAAAATGAAAATTGGCGGAGATAATCCGGATCTACCGGATATACCAAATCCCACTTTTTCGGAAAAAATTTTCGGAAAAAATCTAACAAACCCATTTGATAAAGCATATTTTTCTGAGTATTTTCCACAAAACCGCTTAGAAATATCATTTTCCGATCCAGAGATATGATTTTTTGAAAATGGCATTTTTCGTCTATTTTTGCAAAAAATTCAATTTTTAAGCGAAAAATGCGATTTTCAAAAAATCATATCTCCGTTCCGGCGAAAGATATTTCTAAGCGGTTTTGTGGAAAATACTCAGAAAAATATGCTTTATCAAATGGGTTTGTCAAATTTGTTCCGAAAAATTTTTCCGAAAAAATGGGATTTGATATATCCGGTAGATCCGGATTATCTCGGCCAATTTTGAATTTCATGAAAAATGCAGAAACATGTCAACTGAGATACAAATAGAGCTTTCGATTGGTATATAGAACGTATTTTTTGAATGAAAAATTAAGAAATAAATAAAATTTTTCTAGTGCTTCCATACTTTTTTCCACGACTGTATATAAGATAAAAATGGTGTGGCTAATGAAAAGTCAAAATTCAAGGAATCATCCTAACCGTCCAGTCTTTTCTGATCAATTTAATTTTTTAACAACGGAAAAAATTTTTGGAATTGGACCAGATTTGTTTTTATTTTTGTTTCAAATTAACTTAATATTAAATAACTGAATTTCTAATACCTTTATAATACCTGATTTTCTAATACTTAAATACCCTCAAAAATACTTTCTTCAATCATTTAGTACAAAAATCAAATTCAGACTCAAACAACCATAAGATTTTTTAAATTTTAAATCCAAATCTAACCCACCGGAACAGTTCGTTTAGCTTTTTGGTCATCCCCAGTCGCATCCTGTCTTGCAATTAGCAGTGGCTCACGTTGTTCCGCATCTTTTGGAGCGCCCGAAATTTCAGTCTTGTCGTCAGTAGAGGGATTAGAAGGCTGTTGTTGTTGTTCAGCCATAGTCCCGTAAGTAAATTCTTTGGGTTTTGAAGAAATAAGTGGGGCGTTAATATTAAAGTTTAGAAAATTATTTTTGATAACTTAAAAAATGATAAAATTGTTTATGTTAAAATAAAAGGGTAAATTAAAGGTTGGAATCGAAAGGGTGTCAATTGGAACTCGAAAATTGGTAATTTAAAAAACTGTAATAGGAAATGGGCGTATCGCATTTGCTCGATTAATTCCCCTCTCGAATAATTCTCCCTGCCTGCTATGGATGAGTTGAAACAATAATCCCTCTCCCCCAAATACCCTACTACACGTTCAAATTTCAAAACTCGAATAATTCCTCTCCCTTGAATAATTCCCCATGCCAAGGATGGGTTGAAAAAATAATTCCCCAGGGGAATTAATCGAGTAAATACGTTATCTAAAGTATATATTGGATATGTCTGTACTAAAATTTAATTTTTTAAAATAAAATTTCTAAAATAAATTTAGTAAAATTATGAAGCAAAAAATAAAAAAAATAAAAGACTCAAGTGTACTCCAAGTGTGGAAAATCAAGTGTGAAAAATAATTATTAAATTATTGCCCTTTTGTAAACTAAAGGAGCTTAATAGTAAATAAATAAAAGAAAATAAGGCTAAAATAAAGCTTTCAATAAAAATTTCAGTCATGAGTTTACGTGGGAGTTGAAAAAATGAGAGAGAGAGAAGAGGATAGAGAGGATAGAGAGAAAATAAAAAAGGCGTAAGTTTAAAGACAAAAGCCTCCACGTGGTGTAAACAACCGTTCAAAAGATTTCCCACATTCTTTTTTATTTTTTTAAAAATGTTCTTTGAAGTAAAGAAAAGAGGCGCTTCTAATAAAGACTGCAAATTAGAGGCGGGTCAAGACCCCGGTTTTTACGGAAACTCGAAAACCTAAATTGAGACCGTCAAAAACAAAACTCGAAAGAAAAAAAGCCAAAACTCGAAATGTCGGTACAGTTATGTTTGGAACTATCTAATTGCGCTACTTGAGACATTACAAGATTAAATTAGTCATAAAAAGCTAAATACCGTATTTTCTGTATTAAAGCCCTCGTCCATATTAGAGCCCCTTATACCTATAATAAAGTACTCTGTTTCAAATTTACTTAATATGAAATAACTGAATTCCACTATACTTTAAGCTGATAACAATAAATTAACAAAGTACACACATTTTTACGTGATTAAAAAATTATAAAAAAAGATAATAACATAATTTTGTAGGTAACTTTTTCCGGACTAAAATAGATCTAAAAAATATTTATTTTTGCAGAAAATTGACTGAATGTTGACATGAAAATGAAAGAGGGAGAAAGATTTAAGAGAGCGAGAAGGGCAAAAATACTAAATAGAAAATTACTTGTGTATATTTACTTGGATGAATTGCAAGTGGAGGAGTACACTAGAGTATGGACTAAATAGAGAATTTTGATAGAAAAAGGAGAAAAATTTGTTGAGAGACTTTAATGGCCCTTTCCTCCCACAATTTGCGGAGTAATCAATTTTTGGTGTGTAAACAAATAAAAGATGGACACATAAATATTTTGGAAGGAGTAAAATATGTGGTGAAAGACAAGTCCAGACTTGCAAAAAAATAATGGACAAAATGTCCAAAGATTAAATGCCAAAAATAAAATTTGATATTTTTTTGAGAGAAAGAAAAATTGATAAGGGTGAAAAGAGTGTGGGACAAAACACCTTCCGAACAAGACACTGTTCAAGATTAGAGTAAAAAATACTGTCTAAATTAACCGAAATTTGTGTCGATATTAGGTATGTTGTTATATCCTTAGACCCTATTGTCCAAGGATATAACAAAATAATATCTTTGGACCAAATGGCTATTAGTTATCCTTTGCCTAAAAATTTGGATGAATTTTTACTCTAATGTGGGACGGGTTTTGGAAGGAAATATTTCTGACACGTGGAAAATTCGAATAAAAAATGGAGAAAAATAAATAAACAATAATAATTATGAAAAATTAAAATTAGTAATGATGGAATATTTTGTTGAAACTTGGAGGTTATTAGAAAACTTTAAAAAAGATTGAGGAGCGTTTTAAGCTGAGTTACACCGAAATATTGAATTTCTGTGTTTTTTTTTTCGAAATTTTCGACTTTTCTTTTAAATTTTAACTTGCCGCGATTTCAAGGAGTTGAACACACATGGACTGATTAAATAAAGAAAGAAAAAATGTTGCGAAGTATGGAAGAGTAAAGAAGAAAAGAGAAAATTTTGAAAACAAAGCACAATTTTTCAAAAAGAATTTTATAGTTTCTAGGAACATGGAGGAAGGACTGTGGACAATAAAAATAAATAAATTAAATTTTCTAACAAAGAAAAAACAATTTCGCAAAAAAAAGGAAAAAACTAATATTTAATAATTACTTTTTGCCTTTATAACCTTTGGTCTTTTTGTTATCTTCAAAAGAAAATCGGCAAGAAAAAAGTGTTTCTTGCCGACTATTTATTTTTTACAATACAGTCAAGTCAACAATAAACAATTACTCTAAAATTGATCCTTTTTGATTGTGATGGTTTTATAATGCTGTATAAATAAAAATTAAAATAGTCAAAAAGATCAACAAATTTTTGGTCAAAATTCCAATTAAAGAATGAGAGAAAGGGGACATTGGAGTCTGTATTTCGAGTGCGTGATTTTATTGAGTTTGGAAAATTTGGACGTGTTGTTGGTTAATTAGAGATTAATTAATAGCTTGAAGATCTGAATAGGGAAGGGATTAGGCAGAATTACCCAAAAACAGAGTGTCAATCCATAAATAAAATACAAATATCAAGAAAATTTAGAATGGGTAATATTAGTCAGATATTAGTCTACTACATATAAGAGAAAATTTGCGGCTGGCAAATTGTATCTTATAATTGGAAGGGGCTCTTAAACATTGAATATACTTAGCAACTCCCGCTCTTCCCAACCATTGTCTAAAGGGCTGTCTGTAACTTCTAAGAATTATTTTAGAAATATGGAAAATCGACATTAATAGTCGATCGGTCAGTTGGGTTCAGATACATATGTATATGCAACTCTCTAAGCAATATTTTGTTAGTTGATCAATAGGATTAGGTGACGACTGTCAATAAATGTGAGAAAATTTATTTTGTTTATAATTGATGTGAAATTAAATTGAAAATTGGCAATACATTGTGAGGAAATTTTAGCTGAAAAGTGACAAAAATATCAATTTTTCTTGTTTTCTGAACATAGAATATTTTTTTCCGAATAAAATTTTCTAAGTTAGTGAATGGTTGGGACTCAATTGGCCTGCCAGCTTTGAGAAAGGATTATTTCAAAATAAAAATAACATGTGCCAAGTCATGTCATTGGGGAGATGAGTAAACTACAAAGTACTTTAGCCTCAAAGAATGGCCATAAAGTACTCACTTTGACTGGCTGTCACAACAAAAGATAAGAGGAAATGAGGAGAGACATGTCTGGAGTAAAGGAATAATTCTCAATAACTAAGCTAATTTTAGACCAATTGAGTTAAATTTAGTATCATTCTACTCAGAATGAAAAGCTAAATTTAATGAGCTAAATTGATATTATTTTTTTGAAGACTAAGGGGAAAAATCTGAAAATTGGTAAAAGGTTGGGGTAGTCTGGCATATAGCCAAACTGACATTTTTGTTGAAAATTCTATCAAACATTTTTCGCTTTCTTGATCAATTCCTGGGTGAAAAAATTCGGCATATTGGATCTATTTTAGAACCAGGATTTTTGGCCATAATTTATGAAACTAATGGGTAGGGTTTCACCGGAACCGAAATTTTGACCGGAGCCGGAACCTGAACCAATTTGAGTTCCGGTTCCCGGAACCAAAAAACACCGGAACTTACCGGAACCGGAACTTCCGGTGAAACCCTACTAATGGGTAAATGCATTGTGTCACCTCCTGTCACAATTTTATTAAATCGTTGTAAGGAATTTTATTTTATACATATTTTATATATCACATTTTATATATCACATATTTATACATATTTTATATATCAAGTAACCCCCATTAAATTAAAATAAAATTGAGTTTCTTTCAATAATAATATCCATTCCTTTTAAGATTATATTCTCTTTGATCTGCAGAATTTGTGTATTTTATAGCTCCAGGGTGTGGAAAGTGGTGAACATTCCTTTAAATTAAAATGAAAATTTATTTATTCATTCTAGTGGATGTGGCTTTGAATCCTTTTTAAGCTTGATTTATTCTCTGTCAGATCTTTAACATGGGCATTCTCAAACAAAATCCTATTTTGATTTGTTTGAACAAGATTTTCTACGAATTAAGCATTACAAAGTTTGATGTCTTCCTTAAAAACGACTCTTCCTGGGTCCTCCTTAACTCCTTATATGTATCTGTACCAAGGGAATGGAGTTCCCCATTGATCATTCCAAAAAATAAGGGTATTTCAAATGGATAATCTTATCAAATTTTGTATTCATGTAGACAAAAAATCTGCTAAAATTCCTTTTTTTTCGCTTAATTTAAAAATTTTTTAATTTTTAAATTTTATAAAAGTTTCCGACTTTGGAATTTCGAAATATTTATGTAGATTTCTCTTCTCTATATAAATAATTCATCTAAATAACCTAGCATTGTAAAAAATAATATCTCCATCTGTTTGTATAGGATGGCGAAGAGAATGTCGTATAGCCCTTATAGCATAACAAACAACCAAGGCTGAACAACAAATAACGACAATAATAAAACAGCCAACAAATATCCATCTAATAAAGTAAAAAATAAAGTAAATAAAATAAGGATAGATATGTCCGAAATTGGCAAATTGTCTACGTGATGTGTCAATTTACCCTACTTGAACCAAGGAGGTTTCGAGCAGGGCTGCTGATCCGAAAAATGTCTGGATATTCGGAGATTTCCCAGATCTACCAACCCAAGCTAGCCGAAAGAATTTTTGTCCGATGAAAATTTTAATTAAAAACAAACGTTAAAAAACGCAAATCAAAAGGTAAACAAGCATAATGTGCACTAGTGGAAGAATCGCCACAACGATCCACCCAAATGCATTGTGCTGGTTCGGGGCATGAACGAGTGCCTTTGAAATTAATTAAATTATGATGAATTTTAATAAGGTTTTTATTTTTGATTCTTCGAAAAATTGTATTTTATGTAATATATTTAATTTAAGAATGTTCTTAAACATAAATCATTTCTGAGATTTATTCATCCGATTATTATGGAACCACGAAAAGGAACCGAGACAGAGAGAAGTATTGTCCCTGCATCAATCTTTTAATTAAGGATCATTAGTGTCACGTGTGCTAATTAAAAAAGAGAATATTCTCTCACAATAGTCAGCTGTTTCAAAACATCCTCTATTTTCTCCAAACACAATGTTTCCCATTTTAATTAATTATTTAATTATTAAATTAATAAAAAGAGAATTAAAAAAGAAAAAATCAGTTGTTTAAATAATTAAATTAAAAAATAAATTGATAAAAAATAGGAAAAATGGGGGGAATATTTTAAAAATGAAAGAGAAAAGAGAAGAAAGAACAGGTTTTTGGGGTGTTATCACAATTTAACAAAATAAATTTTTTAAATTCATTTTAAGACGAGAATTGATTTTAATTTAAATAATTTATAAATTTTGAAAAAAACTTTTTGTGATAATTGGGGAGTTTGGAACATTAGTTTTCCTCCGTCATTGGAGTCAATAACGAATATACTGCTTCTTGTTCTTGTTATTGCCAGCTGATCGATGGGAACATTCTCAACGGTATTTAATCTTTCTAATCTCATTTAAATTATTTAAACTAGGGTAGCAACCCGACCCCAAAACGCCGACGAATTTTTGGGCAAAAACCCCGGCCCTAACTTTGAAAAGGTTAGCTTCTTGATTTGTCTTATTATTATTTAAGGCCGGCTACTACGCAGCCTAACAGATAAATCAAAAAGGAAACGATCAGCAGTAATCCTATTTAGTAATCTTTGGACAGAGGACCTACTACTATGGCCATCTAATTTGTTAAATTAAATGAATTAAAGATAATACATGAGGAGAATTTGATTTATTGAGATTTTAATCACAGAATAAGATATTTTTTTGAAAAGAGTTTTAATAAATTTTATTTTACCTGCCACCAATTTCCATTTTTGTTTTTAATTAGATGATTATTTCAAATTAAAAACACCAAACAAATTAACTCAACTGTTATTGAAAATTAAAGATTGATTTATGTGTTTAAATAAAAAATGTTTGGAGTTAATTGATGATCAATTAATAAAAGATCAAAGGCAAATTGATTAAAAATATAAATAATTTATCTATATTTCTTTTTTTTTTATTCTGATTTTTCCATATCCTCTTTGTCACTCTTAATCCAAAGATATCTCTCACAAATCTTGATATCTACCATAATTCCTCCTACTAATTAATTAACGACACTTTAATCTAGAGTAGCACTACGAGCCTTCGAGGGCAGGATGTCGGGTTTCGGGGTTTGCCGAGATTTTCGGTTTTTTTCGGAGGACGGAGTTTCGGGGGACGGAGTGCTACCTTACTTTAATCACTCGATCTCTATTGAGGACCTAAACTTTGTCCAAAATTTATGTGAATGGTCGTCATAAAATCCAAATGTGGCCAAAAGTGTAAAAAATTTTTTTAATTTAATTTTTAAATTTATTTTTTAAATAAATTTAAAGAACACACAAAGTTTATCATGTGGAGAAAAGAATATTAAATAATAGTTGATAAAGGGTGGAAGGCAGGAAGTTTATTTAAATATAATAGGGAAAAATGAAAGAATATTAGGTAATTTAATTAAAAATAAAAGGATTTTAACTGAAAAAGAAATAAATAATTTAGTATATTATCACCCAAATTTACTTTACTTCGATTATTTTCTTTTAAAATCATCATTTATTAATTTAAGGCTTCTTGGTTGAAGTCGCTCGCTAATTAAATAAAAATTAGAATGTAAATACTATCTTAACTGAGTTTTCAGAATAAAAAATTCTTATTTATTTTACCTTCATAATTTCCGAAACTGAAACCAATTCATGTTTAACTTGACCCAATAATTTGGCAATAGTTCCAATTAATGGATAAATGCCTAAAAATTTAAAATTAAAATATTTAATTGGAGTAACAATATTTACAGCGATTGGTTATTGTGTGAATACTTTAATTTATTCTGGACCGGGATAGAATATTGCTTAACCTGATAAATTTCGTTCGAGTTTAGAGGTAGTACTAGAGGGAAAGCATTTTTATAAATGTGTTATGCTGATCGCTAATGAAATAAAATCTCCCGTGATAGGTGATACTCAGCTTCTTTTAGCTGACTACCGACTAATTAACAAATAACCGCTTCCTATTATTCTTCCACTGCCTTAACTTGTATTTTAAATATTACCATATTTACTTCCCGAACATTTTCCATTAAAATCATCAAAATCCAAGGCCCAAACAAAAGCCCCTCCAAATCCTTGGCTACTCAACCATTTTATTTTTTGTAAGTAGCTTTGCTGATTGTCATAGCTAAACCATTCACCATTTTGATAGAGATAAGGAACTAGAGCATTTGGATCATAAAAATCCTTGGCACCCTTTGCTAGCATTTCGCAAATCTTGAAAAATTTGAAAAAAATATTTTTGATTAAGAAAAAAAATGAAATAAGACAATGTAAGATCAACAGGGATGGGACTCATACTTCTCCAATGTGGCGACATTTAATTATAAATTTTCACCTCAAAATAAGCTGCAACTCCAGGTTCTTGAGCAAATTCTGTCGCATTAGCAGGACCAGATGCTGGGGCACCAACACTTAGGTCCTTACTATTGGGATTTGACAACTTGAATCCATGCGCTAAATTATGTTTAGCTGATTTTTATTTTAATCTAGATTCACCATAAGTAGGGAATCCAATAATTATTTTATTTCTGGGCATTCCACCGCGAACCCAATAATTTGCAGCATCGATCTAGATATGAGATTAAATTACCCAATATTGAAAATTTAATAAAAAATATAGTCGGACTTTATTATGAGATATATCTTGGGGCTAAAATTGTGACTTATAAAAAGGGGAATATAAAATATTGTGTTAGGTATCTTGTAGTGAAATCTGGCAAATTAAACTGTGTCTTACAATATTCAAAGAGTCATTAGTTCTTAAGGGAGAGTTGTATCCAGTTTTGTTTTCAGAAGTTATATGGAAGTCATAAGTCATAAGATTGATGAAATCAACGTATCTTGAAAGAAATTTTACATTTAAGAGTTTATTTATATTATTATGCTAGCGTTAACAACTCGGGCTGTATTGTACTTGGGCGGTATTGGACTATGTTGGAATTATAAAGTGGTCCCAACATGAATTACCTGAACTTTCAAGATGGGTTCCTGTATAAATCCCAAGTATTAGAAAATTGAGAAACATTAAAAGAGGAAGGGGAGTGGAATTTAACAGATAAATCTTTAGTAATTAAATACTAAATTACTTTGCCATCGTCGCTATATCATAAGATTTTTTTACAATATCAATTCCAGCTGCAACTGCTGCAGTAATTATTAATTTATTTTTTACATTCTTTTCATTACAAGCTGCCAAATGAAATTCCTAAAAGATTGTTAAATGTTAAAAAGTTATGGTTTCTTCTATAATACTATTACATATTTAAATAGTATTTATTAATTGTTCTATTGCATTTATTTAATTAATTAAAAAAAATTTTATTTTTTCCGTTTCGGCACGTTGTTGGGATTTCCATCGGAAATCTTTTCCTTGTTACAAATATTTTTTACCTGCAAAAGTAAATTAAAATTTTCTTTTGAATCTGGATATTCGTTATCTAAGTCTATTCCATCAAAACCATGTTTCCTAACAAAAGCAATTGATGATTTGATAAACTTTTCTCGATTCTGTTTGCTTCAAAAAATTTACTTTTAATTTAAACATCTTTTATAACCACCTTGATGTCATATTTTGAAAGAGTGTGGTAGTTGTGCTAAAAGTCCAACCTCCAAAAGACATAACAAATTTGAGGTTTGGATCATACTTCTTTAAATAATTTAGATTATTTAATATTATTCCTTATTAATAGGATTAATAAAATGTTTCAGTAATTTTTGTCATGTTTCACACTTGCCGAGAAAACAGTTAGAAAATTGTTAATGATTGTGAACTGAAGTATGTGATATAGGTAAGTTGAAAAAAATTCCTGGTTGGCCTCATGCTATCCTTTCTCTGGCCTGAAATTAGTATAATTCTCCCCATGGGATCATAGTGAGAGAGAGATAAACGTTTAGCTCCGGTTAGGCATCAATACTTTGTCCTTCTGGGCCCGTTGTATAAGAAATGATTATTTGAATGTTTGTTTGAACTTTTTCTTGATTTTCTAAAGTTCAGAATTTCTACCTTTAAGGCGACAACTCGAGCATATTGTCCCAAAGGATCTGAGTCATTAGGTAAATCGTTAGGATCAATCGCACTTAAATTCAAATTATTATATTTTAAATTAAAAAATTTTTCTCTCACTATGCTTCAAAGCTTTCATTAAAATAAGCAAAAGCATAAAATATATGTGTGCAGAGCCCCGGTGCATAATCCTCTGGAGCGAATTTTGCACGACCACTTCTATATATTGCCCAATTTGTGAAATAACAAGGACGAATAAATCTACCTTTAATTTTTTTTTGGATTTTAGTTTAATTTATGAGTCCACAAAAATTTATATCCGATTTTCTTTTTAGATTTTACAGTTGAGGTAGGGTTCTTCAATGCTTGTTTGTTCGAAATCATTTGAATAATTGGTTTGTCTTGTCTGTTAGATATATTTTATTTTGGCTAGCTATGGTAAAAATTAAAATTTTCAGGCATCAATTATAACCATTAAAAATTAAAATGTGTCAAAATAGAGACCACTCTAATATTGCTTTTAAAAAAAATATTTAACCTTTATTATCAGAAAGATCAACTCTATCAAATTGACAAATTCCAAATTGGAATAAAAACGGAAAAATTATAAATAAATAAATTTGCATTTTCTGTTTAATAGAATTTTAAAAATAAATAAATTCGGAGATTGGACAACTTTGTCCGATAAATAAATAGAACAAAGTTGTATAATGAATATAAATCTTTGTTATGTATGTAAATCGGCGAGGTTTCCTCCTCCTCTAGGTTTCCTCCCAGCCTACCAAAAAAATTAAAAACGGCGGGATGCCGATCAGTTAGCAACCTAATGGTGTAGAGACCTCTGGACCAGTCTCATTCCATCCTTTATTTCCTGGATTGTCTTAAAGAGGTACATAGATAGACATATCGCTCAAAGGTAGCCTAATTTACAAAAGATGACTTAAACTGAATTTATCTATGTGTTATAGGGAGTATGATAAATTTTGACAGATTATTACTATTTTTTATATTTCTAAACGGGGGCAGTACTAATATTTAGAGGGTTAAAAATTTTAATAATTAATGATAATTAAGTGAGTTTGATATTTTAAAAGGATTAATTTTTAATTAAATAGAATTTAAATTGAATTTTCCGGCAGGTGTAGAAATTGGGCAGTACTAATAGGAGCCGTACTAGTTGAGGGGGTACTATGGAAGGAAATGAGGTATCCTGATGATTGGAAGTGTTTAACAATAAAAGGAAGATAAAAACTTATTTAGCTATATAAATTAAGTGAGTTGGACATAAATATATCATTGAAAACCCCGTAATTATAATTAAGTAAATAATTAATTTATTAAAATTATTCAAATTCAACTTTATTGGAGAATCAACTTTAAATAAAATATTTTAAAAGGAATTAATTCTTTTAATAAAATAGAATTTAAATTAAATTTTCTGGCAGGTGTAAAAATTTTTTAAATAAAAATCCATTTATTTACGTGGATAAATTTAATTTTGTTGCGTTTAGAGTTGAGGCATGTGATGAAATGAAAATAAATTTTAAAATAAACTTTGGTTTTTGAATGGAAATTTTAATGATTTTTATAATGAATTTTAAAATAAAATTAAAATCTTTTTTTAATTAGAAAAACTTTAAAAAATTAAAATATATTTTCCATAAAAATAGTAAGAACGAGATAAAAGTTTAATCCCGGGCAGGCTTCGATCCTTCGACTCCTGGCAGTTATTGCTAGGCGCTTTCGCTCAACTAGGCGCATAAGCTAGGCGCTTTCGCTCAGTCTACCGACTGAGCTACCGTGACGATGCTTTCACCTTCTCCTTTAATATAGGTATTTTAAACCCCCGCCTAGTGAGCGTTGGATCTTTCTCTTCCAGCTGGATCTTTCTCTTCCTTACAAAATCATATTTTAACTTGAAGTATCTAAAACAGTTGACAAAAATAAATAAAATATTAAAGAAATTTACATCTCATCTCAGTTTCAAACTCCAAACTAGGTTTAAATAGGTAACATCCCTCTTATGGCCGTACTTCCCTTATTATTCAATCATTTGATAATCTAAGGGAAATAAAAAATGAGATAAAGGATTTGTAGAGGGAAAAAGGAGTTAATAAAATTTATTATAAAGTTGATATATTTCAAATTTTTATTAAAAAATATTTTTAAATTTATTGTGGATTTATTTGCGCTCGATTAAAAACGGCATTTCGATAAGGGGTGTTCGTTAAAATACAAATAATTGGGTTAAATAAGGTATTAAATGATAAGAAATGAAAATTAATATTCTGATTATGTTCATTGTATTGTTGGTTGTTTTTGAATTAATCATGAGGAATACGTTTCCAGCTTAGATGATAAAGGGTACAATAGCCTATAAATTAAAAAAATATTCTCTTAAATAAAATTTTAACCAAAAAACTTGCCAAAATAATCAAAACTTTTGTTAAAAGTTTATTTAATCTTTTTAAATTTCCATCTAAATTATTGTTTAAATTGACATATCTAATCATTTTAAATCCACAAACAATTATTATTAAATAGAAAATATTTCTCCCAAAGCTGTCGGTAAAAGTGAAAAAATATTGACCTATTTTTTAACAAAATATTTTTAAAATATTTAAATTTATTTAAAAATTACAGTTTCCATTTTACATTGAAAAAACGGCCAAGTTTTGTTAAAATTATCAAAATGTTTAACACCCCCATTAGAATATGGAATAATGAACAAAACCAAATTCAAAGAAAAAAATAAAGTTACAAGTAGAGCTATTGATGCCATATACAAATAATGACGATAATTAATTTTCATATTCCTTTTAATGTTTAGAAAGATATTTTTAGTATTATCGTGTATCCTATAATTGTACTCCCCCCTGAATTAGAGAACTTCCACATTAAATAATACTCCCCTTTCGAGGAGAGTTGAAAAATAGTAGAGACGTGTGAGCTCTTGGTCTTGATTGTAAGATTTTTCTTAGGTTTTTTTGGTCTTTGTCTTGGGGTGAAGTCTTGATCTTGGTCTCGACTTTTTTGGCCTTTTCTAAACTTTAAATGTTTAGAGAAATATTCCCCCTAAGTATTGAACTTTTTTAGATTTGTTATTTTATTTCCAAAATGGAAGAACTCTGGCTTCTTGGCCTTCCAAATTCTCAAAATTTTCGCCTCCGGCGCTGGAAAAGAAAGAAATTTAGCTTATTGGCTCCCCTTTCGAGGAAAGTTGAAAACTCACGGGAGTTCTATTATAGGAAATACAGCATTTTTATACCTACATATACCTGTTCAAAACTAAATATCTATAAATAAATTGAACACACAATCCAAACAAATTTAAATTAAGAATATATTCCCAAAACACTAGAAAAATATAAGCTATAAATGGATCAAAATCTTCTTTCATAAAAAAACTAAGCAAAATTCCATTGGGAAATATATATGTATTCACTTCATTATCAAATAAATGAAACTAAAAATTAATTAAAATTTTAACTAGGCATATTTTCTCTTTGGCGGTACGATATTGAGGATACGCACTCGAGGATATGACAAATGAGGACACCTGGAAGAATTGGAAGCTCAATAAAGAAGAATTCACGTCTTTCCAGTGCCGCAGGCGAACCTTATTGAATTTTAGAAAGTCAAGGATCAAAAATTCTCTTTTTTATAATCCTCAATTGTTGTCCTCATTTGTCATATCCTTAAGTGTGTATCCTCAATTGTCGCAACACCTTCTGTTTTTAATTACCCCCTCAACAAATAATTGAACAGTTAACATTAAAATATCCAAAACACAATTTTGTAAAAGAATTCGACTGTGTGTTTTCATTTCTTTCGGTGTTTTAAAAATAATTAAAATAATCAGAATAATATTTAAATGAAACCCAATTAATAAACAAACAAAATAATCAAAATTAAATAAAATATCAAGTAAATCTAATGACATTTATTATTTAGTATTTTTTGAAAGTTAAAATTTTTATTTCTCAAAATTAATGGCAAAACTCCATTAAAAAGTTTTCATTAAAATTCCATTAAAAAATATTAATTAAAATTTGAAAAATGTAGAATACAAAAAATATTTTTGAGAAAATTGTCTATGTTTTTACGTTAAAAAATTTTTTGACACAAACAAATCGTGAGATTTTTAATTGCTTGGTTCACTTTTGAATTAGAAAATTATTTTCATTTTCTAAGCACTTATGTACTTTTACAAGTAACTAAAAAATGCTGTCGTCAATCAGTTTAAGAGTTCTATTAATAATTGAGACGGTATAATGTATTTATTGAAATAAAATCACAAAATAAGGCCATAAAATATCGCAATACAAAATATTAACAAAAATACTAGAAATTAGTGAAATATTGAAATATGTAAATTATCGTTTATTTAATAGGATAAACTCAAAAAAATTTAAAATTAAAAAAAACTAATTTTATTGCTTGCAAAATATTTCTGCTGATAAGTAGAGCTTGCCGACATGAAGGATAGTTGTTTCTTCACATCTTTCCAATATATAGAGAAGAAAAGTTTTAAGCTTTATATCGAACGTTATGTTTCTGGCAATAAGCTGTGAGCTCAGTTAAAGGAATTGTTCCTTGATGTGCATTTTGGAAGATATTATTAGCATTTCCAGCCCCTGTTGTACCCGTTTTAGTTACCCGTGATCAGTGCTTCGAAGCTCGTACTAAAATTCGTACTCGTACCTCGTACTCGTACCTGGTACGAGTACGAGACGAGCAAAAAAATGGGGCGTGATCTCGTCAAAACAGCCAAAAATTTGCCAAGAAATCAAAGCCCATTAGTTTTGGTTGTCACAAACTTTTACTTTATTTTAAATCTTTTTTATTTTTTTCTGTAAATTTTTTAACTGATTGATTCACACATTTTGAGCATTAGAGGGACAGACAAAATAAAATAAAATTGAAAGTATTTCTTCTACCACTCGATAAATTTATTTTGAACACTCATAAACACACAAAACTCAATCATTTATTTGAGGGAAGGGAAAAATGAAAAAAATTGAGAGATTGTTAAAATTTAAAATAAATCGAGTGAAAAAAGTTGTTAGTAACACAAATTACGCTCCTCTTTATATTTATTTTTTGACTAAATTTAATTTTTAAATGTTTTAATTTCAAAATTTATTTTAAATTACATATAATGTTTAACCTTTTGCTTCTAATTTTTATAAATTAGAAAAACCACCCTATAGAAAAACTAAAAAATATTGAAAGTCCTTCATTGTCAACCATTCAATCATCAGCCATGGTTTTTATTGAGTCGAAACTTTTTTTATAAGACAAGACTAAAAAAAAGATCATAAAAAAGATCAATCTAATATTAATAACCTCTAAATAATCTCTCCTTCAGTCGTTTAAAAAAGAGATAATTATTATTTTGTTATTTATTGGAACAAAGATTATACATGATTCAACCTAATTAAAAAATTTTTTTTAATTTTTTATATTTTCTTTTTCTAGAATGATTTTATTTCTTCCTTCCATTTTTATTTTTTATTCTCTTTCAACAATTATTTTAGCTTTATTAATATGGAGACTATTTAGCGGATTTAATAATGCGGGTAAAATGCCACCTGGTCCTTTTCATTTTCCGTTGATTGGAAATTTTGCGAAGGTTTTTAATTTTAATAATCCGAATAGTACGGTAAAAATATCCCGATTAGTACATAATCAAAAAAATATGAAGAAAATCCCAATTACAGATAAGGAATAAACCAGCCTGACTACTGAACACCCAATATTTATTATAATTAAAAATTTATTTTTATTTTATATTATAGCTTGATTTACGTTATCCCCATCGTTCTTTTGTTTATTGGAAACAACGTTATGGGCCGATTTATACTGGTAAAAATTTAATTTAGATAAGGTTTTAATTAAATGGCGGTACGACAATTGCGGATTCGCACGTGCGGATGCGACGATTGCGGATATAAAATTTTTAAAAAGTTTAAGATTTTTAAAGTTTTCAGTGCCACATCTGTCTAAAAATGATTCTGAAACCGTCAGAAGTCTGAAGCTGACAGCCGTGACGAAAAAACGGAATATACTTTCAATCATTTTAAAATTAAAAAAAAAATTTAAATCCGCAATTGTCGTAACACCAATTAAATATAGGTAGGTTTGTATTTGTTAAAAAATATAACGTTCCTTTAAATTACCCGAATGCTTTTCTAAATGCTCAACACTCATATCATAAATCTTTCATGCAACTATCCCCCAAGCATTCTTTATCGGGTTAGATCAGATGTACGCGAAGGTCATACTACATAAAACTATGAAGAATAAAGATAAATAATTTGAAAAAACTGGGGGATGCTTAATTTTTGGAATAGAATGTATCTAGATTTGTTTAATTAACAATTAATGGAAAGAACAATTGAATTTCTACAAATAATTACCTATATATTAATTAAAATATAGTTTGGCTGCCAACACCTTATTTGGTTATTGCTGGACATAAACAAATGCAAGATTTGTTAGTTAACTCTAATTATGGTGCTTATTTAGTTTAAAAATTCAATTAAATTATATCAATTCACAGCTGATATTTTCTCTGATAGACCAACATTTTCTTATAGTTATGGTGTTTTCAATAATTTTCTACCTGACGGAGATGGTAGATTTTTTTGTATTTCGGGAAAAATTCTTTTTAAAATAAATAAATTAAGAATTATATATCTAGAGACCCCCCCCCCCCTAATCGAATACCATAAAAACGGTAAAATTTCAAACCTAATATAATTACCCTCCCTCAATTAATTACTCAGTACAGCGGTAGGTCGAAATAATAATAATCCAGGGTAATTATTTAACTTATATCTTTTCCGGAAAGACTTTCCAAAAATCTATTAAGGAATTGTTTTATCAAGACAACAGGTATGGAAAAAGAACAGATCTGCAGCAATGGCAGCCCTTCGAAAATTGGGTATGGGACGTTCAGAAATGGAAAATCGAATTAATGTCCACAAAGATGCTTTGATTTTACGATTAACGGAAAATGTAAAAAATGTAATAACTAAATTATTTTTTAAAAATATTATTTTAAATTTAAAATAAAATTTGTTTAGAAAAATGGAATAGTTGTGGATATTGCTCAACAATTCGATTTTTGTTTTGGAAATATAACTCAAAATTTGCTTTTTGGTAGATATTATACTGAATATAATCATCCAGTATTTGCCTATTAATTACTAATTTGAATAATATTAAATATTTTTGAGGAATTTGTTCATCTTAAACAGTTGATTGATAATACAATTAAAGAGGTAACAGCTTCATAATTAAGATTAAACCAAATTTTTTGATTTTATACATATAGATAATATTATTTAAGATTGCGTAATTATAGTTGTAATATAAATATTTTAGGGGAGAAATAATCCGGAAAAAATAGGTAATAAAACTATTTTCCGGAGAATATTCAGGGAATGAATATACTTCTGAATCTCTATAAAAGTATTTTCCTGTGAGATAATCCGAGAAGAATTAATACAAATATTACGTAAGCGAACATCTAAAAATATTCAGTAAACATACTAATTTTATTTTTAAAAGCAAATTCTCATTTATTAAATATTCTTTAAAAAGGTAGCTACTGTTCAGATGCTTATTGTTAATTCTTGTCCGTGGACTCGTGCATTATTCCCAGCTTATTGGAGATATGTTCGTCAAGGATTTGAACTCCAACGTTTTTTTCTAAAGGAAGTAGATATACATCTTGATAAAGTAAAAGAATCTGAATTGGAAGAGCCTGAATGCTTTATTGAAGCATATCTTCAGGCTGCTATAGCAGAGGGTCAACATATAGAAGACCCGGCATTGTAATTCTTAAAATTTTTGAATATCTTTCCTTAACAGAGTGTTTTAGACGTCAAACAATGGGAATTTGTTCAGGAGATTTGTGGGCTGCTGGTATTGAAACTGTGGCTGCTACAATGACCTGGGCGATTGTTTATTTGTTGAATTATCCAGATATTCAATTAAAGTTTGGGAATAAAAATTAATTTTAAAAAATAAATATCTCGTAGATTACAAGACGAGATAGATAGACATTTGTGTGATCAACCTTTTCACTTTAAAGACCAAAAAAATTTACCTTATTTACGTGCCTTTGTTGATGAACTCCAAAGAGTAGCTAATGTTTTGCCTTTTACTGTCCCACATTCTGTTAGTAAAGAAGCGAGTTTTACTTTTTAGTAAGGGAAGTTTAAATAAATCTTTAGGTAAAGTTGGGTGAGTGGATTATACCCAAAGACACCACAGTTATGGTACAACTGGGAGCTGTCCATTTAGACCCGTCACTATTCCCTCAGCCAGAAGTGTTTCGTCCAGAACGTTTTTTGGATTCTGAGGGAAATTACAAAGGATCGGAATTAATAAAACCTTTTGGAGTTGGAAAAAGTGAATTTTTGAATTTATAAACTATCTTAAAAATTTATTATTTTGTAATTTATTCGTAGGGATATGCCTAGGCGATTCACTCGCTAAAATGGAAATATATTTAATTTTAGCTGCTTTGCTACAAAACTTCCATTTTGAAACTTCAGGTGACAAATTAAATAAGAATCATTCCGAACATTTTAAGTAAAAGTCTAAAATTATCCCAAAAAATAGTACCGGAAACTTTAGTTTTAGAACGTTGGTAAAATTAAATTTTGTTACTTTTAGTGCTAAAAAATTTTTGATTCCAAAATGATAAGCACCCCTAGTTTTTTAAATGTTTTATATATTTTGCTTTGCTATTTTAATTATCATTTTATCTATTGATTCAATTAAAACAAGGAAATTGAAAAACCCTTAAATCATTTAATTTTTATGCCAATTTACTTAGAAAAATTTTAAGAAAGGGTGCGCATAATCTTGTGGGATGAGGATGCTTGATTTAAATAACAAACAAAAATAAATAAACTTTTAGGAATTAGGGATGTACTAATTTAAATTATTAATTAAAACAGATGGAGTGATTCCTTCATTAAACAGAAATTTTGGGACAGTTACACATGCCGATCATTTTACTGTTTGTTTTAGATAAATTTATTTAAAAAATTTAAAAGAAATATTTTTTAGTTTAAATTGAGCCTGCGAAAGAAAGATGTTATTCTATAAAATTTGTTTTTTAATTAAATTAAGAGAAGTCTAGTAGTTGATTAAACTTTTTATTTATTTTTAACATTATTTATTTGTAGTTTTTTCCTTCCGTTTTTTGCTTTAATCGGAGCTTTTCCTTAACTTATTCGTTTATTTCGAAACCAATTAGACACGTTTAGATAAAAATAAATTTTATAAAACTTTTATAAATGTTACTTATTTAATAAAATGTTCAACCCCAAAATTTTCACATTTGTAAGAAATAGGACTGCGGCCAAGGACATTTTAAATGTTTTCAAATTAGTGTTCGGCATGTTTCGGTATTGTAGTCCTAGGCTAATACTTTTCGGTACTACCGGTACAGAACAATTCATTGAAGTACAACAAAAATCCAAACAGAAACAAACCCCCAAAAAGTCACAATCCTTATTGTCATTTTATTAAAAAACTTCAACATCAGCCAATTTTCATTTAAAAAAAGGCAAATAAAAGGAGCCTTTTGTATGAAAAAATACAAAAACAAAATAATATTCATGTGATTTTTAGCTGTAGAAAAACATATTTTTCAAATTTATTCAATTGCACTATATTTCTTAAAAAACATTAAAGAAATTTCAAAATTTTGCCGTCTTTTTTACATATATTTGCACTTTTAATCAAATGCTTGTCAAGGATTATGATAAATTTATATCATTTTATACCTTATTAAATACTACATAAGCCATCTATGTAAATTTCATTAACATAGAAATGACCTTTTCTAATCATTTTTAACCTTTTTAATTCGTAAAGAGTTCGTATAGAGAGAATATAATAAACTCTCGCTCTTTCTATCAATTTAGACATAATTATCAAAACCGAAGTCTTTAAATAAACAATATTTTTAATAAATATTAAAATTTCAGATGAGTAAATTAATTATTATAATTATTTTGCATTTGTTTATTTTATTTAAATTTAATTGTGAAGGCAAAAATGTTCAACTTAAAATAAAGAATGATTGGGAAGAAAATCGAGAATTTATTTATTTAAAAAATGTTGAAATAAAGGAACGTTTTGTAATGATAATGAATGTTAAACAAAAAAATAGAATTGAAAATTATCCCTATAATAAAACTGGATTATTTCGTAAACTTGAAGTAAATCCTGTTACAAATGCTTTTACTGCTATGGTAAATAACCAGTCAGCATATAAGTGGCAACTAAAAAGAAAAATTTTGATTGAAATTGCCAAAAATAAGATTATTAAAAACGTTTTGATTAAAATTGAAAAACAGGTATTCACGATTTTAATAACAAAACAAAAAATATTAGAGTAAAAAATAGTAGATTTTTGTGTAGTCCCGTTTTTAAAAATACTTTGATATAGCTATATGTAGTATTTCTTCTAATAGTGCGACCAGTCGGTTTATTTTTCAACCTTCCACTATGGGTCGGTTTATTAGAAGGTGTTGGTCTAATAGAGACAGTCGCACTATTAGAAGAAATACGTTATAAATAAAACCTTAAATTTAATCTTAAATTTAAGGCAATCTTAAATAATAATTTTAATAAAAATAAAAGTTATTATGAGACCTCTATATTGGATGAAAGTTTAGAAAATATTAAAATAAATAAAAAAGAAATGTTACTAGAAAACATTGAAAATTATAAAAAGAAAATTTTGTCAGGTTATTGGAAGGAAATTAATTTAATTGGATATAAAATTGAATTGTTAGAAAAACAAAAAGTTGAATATTCAAATGAAGAAAGTAGAATTATTTACATTGGCAATAAAATAAGTAAATAATTTTTTAGCATTATCCCGCCTTATATTTAAATTATAGCCAAAATTAATGAAAGAAAAAAGTGCCATTGTTTAAATTGTAGATCTACAGAAAATAATAAATATTATAAATACCTTAAAGAACAATTTTTATGTAATCCTTGTGGTATGTACTTGTATTATCCGACAAATGATGGAAAGCATAGACCGAAAGAACTTTGGGCTGTATATGAAAGGAATGCGGCACTCAATTTTTTTTCCCTTATTCTTAAAAATGGTTTATTTTCTTTTATTTTTCTCTCTATTTTTGATTTTTGCCTACGACTACAAATGCAAAAGGATTAATTTTCTTTTATTTTTTTATTTCGTTCGTTTGACTGA